ACATAAATTATAAAATTTGACTAATTGAAAACTATTCCATCAAATTTTATGAGGTTGAAGTTGTAATCAATTTCAAAGTTTAAACTTTAATATAAATCAAATAATTGATAATAACCTTCGAAAAAGACATATTTGCTCATCTGATTATCGAGGTTTTTTCAGAAAAATTAGGTGGACTGATCTATAGTTGAAAAGATTATTATTTTACTTAGATATTTTCTACTGAAATGAAGTTTTATCTTTCTAGAATGAAAATTAATGCATTAGTACATACATGACAAATGAGATAGATAAATAAACACAGCTAGAAATAACTAACTCGATTGACATTTGGATTGACATGGTGCCATTTCTATATAAGAGAGACACCGACAAATATATAATCTATGATGCAAAAGTCTTGGCACACAATGTTCACTAATTTCTTGAATACGTAGGGCCGATGTTGAAAGTCAAACACAGTCAGTTAGAATGAAAATTTTGAGCTCTCTCACAATATATGTGTAGAATTCTTTTTTTCGATGTAACTTAGGTGAATTATGAGAATTTTTTTTTAATGAGTACAAAAAAATTCCTATCCATACTAAAATAGGAAGCTTCGTGCATTTTTTCGTTCGTACAACTTGAATTTTAAATACTCAAACGTTCCACATTTTGTGCAAAAGAGCTTCTTTCCATGTAAGGTGGCGCTTGTTAAAAATTTGAATTTTTGAAAAACTGATTTCTTAAATACAAAGTAGTTTTAGAATAAAATAAAATATGATGCAGATATCATGTTATATCCATCGAAAAAAATTCTTATCGTTGCGCGACCCAGGTTATGTCGAATGAAAATTCTGCACTTATATTCTGAAAGAAGGGTATGAGTTTGGGTGTATATGGGTCGTGAATATGGTTGAAAAGAGCTAGATCTACACTCACATCCTGGAGGGTAAACCGTAGTGATCTTCTTCGTCAACAAACTAACTTTATACATTTTCTGATTCCTATGATAAGACGATTACGCGGATAGCTGAGTATTTATTTGCCAACAACACAAATTTTTATTTTTTTATTCTGTTCATCATTTGAATGACTGAATTATTATATAAATAGTAGAAATTGTCGTTGACAACTCGACAAATTATTATATTTCATCTTTTCAATGACTAAAGTTTTACCGAGGTGGTAAAGATTTTTTCGCCAATACGATGTTTTTCAACATATGAAAAGGTAAATAATGATTGACATAACTGAGATTCTATTTCGTAGCGATGCAAATATTAGTTTTTCATTATTTCAGTATTTGATATGTAACCGAATCTGTATTGACTTTTCGCAAATAATACACATGTTTTTTTACGTTTTGAAAATAAATTAAGTTTTATTCGAATGCGAGAGCTTTTTCTTCGACAAAAACAAATTTTTTGTATTACAAGATTGTAGTGACTAGATATACAAAGAAAATATTGGAGATTTTCTTTTTTCAGCGACACAATTTTGTTTATGATACCTTTAACAAAAAAATATTATTCAAGAACTAGAGCTTTTAGTACACAAGAAAGGATTAATGCGATAATTCTAATTCAAACAATTCTGTCATAAGTTTTTTCTACAGTTTGTAGCATCAACATATCAATAAATCACTTGCGGCGTTCTAAAGCAGGCATCTCGAAAGAATTGTCTTGCAACTTGTATACCAAAACTATCTGATGAGAATTGTTTGAATACATTTTTTTAAAGCCACAATTGGAATAGATATCTAAGTAGTTGTATGAAGAATCTTTGACTGCTCTTAACAGTTTGGTTTTCTATGAATATTTTCAAGACAAGAAAAGACCTGCTTGAATTGATCTTTAGGAAAAAAGTATTTTTTCTCTACTTTGTTTTTGCTTTTTATTGATATTTTGGATAGACATCAACAGCCAAACAGTCATCTACGTCTCTAAAACAAATTGAAGTCTACTAAGTTCTCATTTTCTTCAAACATACTTGGTTTATATAATGCGCTTGGGATCTTTTATAGTGGAAAATATACCAAAAATAATTCCGAGACTCAACGCCGTCTTTTGTCTGATGACAGCGAATATTAAGCGTGATATACAGATGTTTTCTTCACCTCTTTTTCTATAAATAATGCCTTGGACATCGATTATTTTGACTTAATCAAAGAAGAAAGTAAACAGAATCTTTCTGAGTTGATGCTTGACGGCTTTGTTCGATTCAATTTTAATTTAGTCGAGTCGTGATTTTTTTGACTTTTTCGGTCTTTGCTGCGCGATTACCTCTCCTCTCACAACCATTCACCTCTACACCCTGCTTAGTGTCAGCTTCGTTGACGATTGAAAGTCATCAGAAAATCTCTTACTGTATGATCGCAATAGTAGAAAGAAACAATTCTTTTTCTTTCTTCCTACTCATTAAATATTGCAGGGAGTCGACCTGTGGTGCTTCTGCGATCGGTAGTAAAACACATGTCATGTTTCTCTATACAGAGAAGTCTTTCAATATTGTGCATTGCTGAATATTACTTTTCGCAGACAAACATCACGTCGACTTTGTTGACAATGTAAGGAAGTATAAAAAGTTTGATACTCATGTTTATTCTCTCATTTCATTAAATTTTGTCCAAAACTTTTCAGAAGGTAGGTTCTCGAAAAGAGTCATGTCTTTTCAGATAAAATCCATTCCTGAACTCTAGGTCTTACGTCTAATATCATCTTCTACCGAATCCTTTTTTTTTGTTAATGATGTCTTGCTCCTCGTGCAGTGTGCCCCAAGCGAACTAATCGAAAATTCTTCAGCCTTCTGAATGAATACATTTTGAATATTATAGTAAAATTGGTGGTCGACTAACGTTCTTGTAACGATTCCTTAATATGAGAGAGAAGTATCATAGATAGGAGTTTGCGGGACCCATTCCAGTCTTGATATTCACTGTTAAACGTGTTTTGTCTGTATTGTTCATGAAGGCATAAGTGACGGTATGCAGAATATCCACACCTACACTAATCCACCCACAACCTTTTGGAAATGTCACTATGATTGATGTATTTAGTGCTCTCTTTAACCAGGGGAACAAATCAAAGGTATTTATCATGTTAAAATCCTAGAGATTGTGCTGAAAGCTTCTTTTATGTGGTGACTACTCAACAAGATCTCTTTGGAACCGAAATTTCAGTCTTTCATTATCTACCAGTCACAAGATATGTTGAATACTAATTGCAAAGAAGATTTTTTCAAAAGTTTCTAACGATTATCATTGCTTACTAGAGGCTCACATCTGTTTGAAACCATTTCTTCTCTAGGACTCTGTGACTATATTATCTATCTACAGTAAAACTTTCAAGCTAATGGTATTGATTCTGTTTGAGATATAAATCTTTTGAACATTATATAAAAGGTTTTCAGGATGATCCTTGCGGTATTACAATGTAAAATACTATGGATTAGTTCAAGATGTAAACAAGAGCTCTATAATATGGATCATATTATACTTGAGGATCAGGCGGACCATCAGCTTTTGTCTATCAGTCAGGATTAGTGACGCTGGGTAGCTATTTTTCGAGTATCTATTAATTGATCGAGGGCAGGCCGGAAGCGGGAAAGCAGTGATTGTCTTTTCTCGCTATAAATTTCAACACTTGTTTCAAATCATGTTTTAGAAAAGTACTGATTTTTTTGTTGGGCTACTGGGAACATGCAAAATGTCTCCACAAGAAAACGATACTTTTTCGATCTGCTTGTATGGATTTTTCCAAACATTTGTCCGTGTATAATGTATGTAAGGCAAAACAAATCGAGAAACCTTGATTGATCTGTATAGGTCATGAGTCATGTCTTGCATGGAATGACTTTTAGGTCAGCTCTTAAGTTTATTCGTTATGAAAAGGACACTATTTTCTTTTGCCAAAATTTATCAACTACCCTAGATAATACGGAACAACAAAATGCGTAATCGTCTAATCGATCCTTTTATAAGTACAGTCTCTCTTAGAGAGAAAATGCCAATCATGAGAAAAGAAGGACCACGATTAAATATACATGTGCAAGTGTATATAAAAGAACGCACACACACCAAAAAAATAGATGAATTTGAATGTAGAGAAGGAAATAATAATATAGTGTACAATAAGTGATTAGATAATGAAGAGTATCGAAGATAGAACACCCAAAGATGTTGATTGATGGAGAGCATGTACCATTTTTAACATAGATATAGCCTGACGAGCTCTATCTGTGATAAATTTTTAAAACCGTTCCATGTTCGGCTAAACGAAAGCTAGTTAATGGAAATTTTTGAGTTTGTATATTTCGTAGTAGAATCAACTGGCGGTTATATCAAAAGGAATTGGCATTCGAAGTACTATAGGTCAAAATGCAAAAGTCGTTCTTTTTGTCAAATGCGAAAAAACTAAGTACTAAGTTACTATTGAAAATATGCATTCGTGTTTCGAGTACTGTGCTTCAGAAACTTATAGAATGAAATTGAAAGTGTTAGAAAATACACGACTCACTGCCCTCTACAACATATTTGATAGAAATTAGCCAAATCGGAGATGGTCAACTGCCAACGTTGTACTACAAACATTCAATGGTCTTAAGGATTTGTTTAAAAAAAAAAGAAACTTTGATTAGTAGACTCTTTCTGTTTCAGAATCAAAATAACATCATTAATATACAAAATGAGTTCGTTATCGTCGATAAATCATTGTGTCAAATGCCGAGCAAATGCATCATTCGTTTGCTGTGGATGCCATCAGAAATTTTGCCAGCGTCATAGTGATGAGCATCAACATATGCTTGAAAAACACTTCCATTCGTTGGCTGTTCATCATGACGACATCTCAAGAAAACTTGATGAACAATTGTTAAACTTCCAATTTGATGATTGTTTCTCTGATATTGATTCATGGGAGCAAGAGGAAATAGAGCATATTAAGCGAACAGCAACCCTTATGCGAGAAGAGGTTATTGATGTCGTCGGAGTACGCCTGCAGAGGCAAAAGGAAGAATTAACTATGCTAACAACTGAAATCAGTGAGGCACGTCAAAAAATGAAAGCTTTTGATGAAATTGATTTGAAACGATGGGAAGATATCTTAAACCATCTTAAGAAGTTGGCAGCTTTTACAGTTACTCTCAAAAACATAAATAATGGGCTCGAATTGTTAGTTACTGGAGAAGACGTGGAAAATGACTCACCTTTAGAAAATATCGATCGACACCGTAATGGCCTTATACCAATCACTTCTCCACAACTTCAAAATACTTATCATAATCGGAATAATTCTGAAATGATGTCAACGACATTAAACAACTTTAGTTCTACAAATAACGTAGAATCAAATGAAATTCGAAGCTCGATTGCGTCGGCGAACACTGAATCTATTGGTCGGACTGGAGATGCTGGACGTCACAACAATGAAAGACCAACAACTACATTGGTTCGAAATAGAGCCGCTGAAATTCCATTTGAACATAGACGCTTCTATCCTCTTCGATGGCGCATAGACTCTTGAAAGTTATTAGTGAGACGAACAATAAACTAGCTATGAGTTAGCAGCTTCCCTTGTCTGAGAAGCCAGGGTTTAGAAACGGTGATTAAATTATTTTGTCTAATTGTATGTGCGTGTGTATCTATCTAAAACACATTTTTGAAAAGAACTATCTGTCTTATATGAAAGGTATCACGTACGTGCGCTGGTGGGGATATGAAAGAGGCTGGAAGACAGAATATCAAAATGGATATAGGTCAGAATGTTGCTGTGGGAGCACGACTCAGTGTAAGTTTGTTCTTCATTCATACCTACATTCAGATCAACACTCACCACCTACTAGTTAATCTTCTGCCCATTCCTATACCGACATCCAAATTCATACTTTATACTTACCTGTCTGTTCTGTCATATTCTCACCTCTTATAGTGTTTAATCGCTGAAAAAATACAAATTAATTGAAATTCATATTCAACATAAGAAATCGAGTCGAATGACGAATATTAAAACTCTATCTGATGTTTTGCAGGGTGTGGGTGTGGGTGTGAGTCTTCTTTGAACCTGTACCAACATCCACACCCACACCCTACATAAACCACGTTTCAGAGAATATCGAAATCTACACTAACAACTGCAATACCATTCAAAGCCAACCATAAACTGAAAATGTAATTTGCTGGAATTTTCGGTTATAACTGACACTGCACTATTAAATTGGTGGATGTGAGTGCAAATAACCATTCTAGTCTACATCTACATTCTACAGTCAAAGCCACACTCCCACCTTTGCTTTTGCTGTTTACCTATTGGACTTTTTAGATTTTCTCAAAACTTTTCTTCTTGTGTTTTTGAACTTCTCAATTCTAAATATCGAATACTGACGGAAACAGTGAAAAGAGTGCATTAATCGCCTCCTGTAAACTCAACACAACGTGTGAAGCATGTGTCTGTACACATTTAATACTGTCACAGTCCTTAAGAACTATATTAGAATTGTTTTTTTTTTTGATCTGGTAACAGACTGTGACCAACAGATCGACACAGTATCATTTTCATTCCTTTACGAACTGCGATAGATATGATTAGATCTTATTAGCAGTATCGAAGTATCTTTATGGTGTGTTACATTCTAAATTCATAGGAATTTCAGTGAAAAATTTTGTTTTAGATTCTTCAAAGTTTCTCAAAATGAACTCATTTTATTCGTGCACGTTTCGATATAATATTTTTGAGTTTTTGGAATTTTAGCCTATTTCGCCTTTCGATTATTTGAAATGTTAACATTTTGAATAAACGTGAAAATTCCAAACTAGAAAGATTCATATTCAATTAGTCTAGGACCGAGTGAATACGATATGCGATGAACGTTATTTGTCTACGTAGAATAGTACAAAAAAGATAGCAGAGGAAATCGTTTTGTTTTTAAAACCTAGCTGGTTCACTGATGACAGTACGAAGTTGAGTAGTTTTGAGGCGTCTTAATCTTTTCTTACGAGAAGTAGCCCAACTAAAGATCCATGTTTTAGCAAGTTGTGTTTTTCGAAACTCTTCTAAATACTTTGTTGATGGCAAAACAAACAGAACAAAGCCAAGTAACTGTGGTAAGTATGATAGAAAGTAAGTAACAATTAGTGCATGACGTTGCCATGCTGTAGAGAGTGCATTACAAGCCAAAATGAATGTGAGAGCACTATGTGGTATGACACTGAATATAATTATTGCCGGAGTAACATACAATTCTTTGTGAATTACGAATTGTTCTTTGATATGTTGTACAATCGTTGTTCGATCCTTAGTTACACGTGAACGACTATATGCAGCAAGTACAATCAATACAGTAATTGAGACAATTTGAATACAAAATGGAATGACATAGTGGATAAATATGGCAACACGATTGTATGTTGAAAATCGAGCGAAATTACCGACACAGAATGGTTTCCTATTTGGAATATTTGCAACAGTATAAACTATAAGTTCATGAAAATGCATAGTTCCAATAATGACCAATGAAATTACACTTAAAATCATAGCTATACGCGGTTTGTTTAATAATTTACTGAAAGGAAACAAAGTAAAACAGACACGTTCAATCGTGATCCAGCTAGTAAGCCAATATGAGTAACGAGTAAAAACCGAAAGTATATAGGAAATTATTTTGCATGAAATACTGTTTGATGAACCAATAGGTATGTAAATAATTTTCAAAAAAAGTGAGATTAGTGAACATTGATTGATTAATGATGAAATGAGAAGATAATTGCATACACCAAATGTGCGCAGTTTCGAACATTTGAAAGTGATAAAACTGGCATAGTTGGTTATCGTACCAATGAGGAACATCAGTGTGGTAAGAATCAAATAAAATAGTTGTACAATAAAATGACTCTCGGCAATAAGTGAATCAAACGAAAAACTCAATGCTTCGGAGCTGAACTGACAGAAACGGCCTGAATGACATGGTGAACATAGACAAATGAAATCATTTGTTTCCAATAGATCCCCTTTCAGACATTGACCATTAGCTAGACAATTAAAGCATCGATCAAGATAGTGATCATAAATAAAACATTCAGCACGACAATGTCTTGTATCACAGATGCATATGCAAAATAAAAAAGCCGATAATGATTTCCGTAAATATCATATCTTTCAAGTTAAGCTATTCTGTTCGATTAATGTGCAGATATGTTTGCTAGTTATGTATGCCAGTCAACTCGTATAGTTCCTGTTTTTTTTTCCAGGATTTAACAAGTAGAAATATATGATACGACGTAATAAATATCAATGATTTTCTGCTGGCACATACACACACATTCATCAACTAAATGATCCATTATATTCATCGAGACAGTTTTCTTTGTTTGAACTACATGTAAAAGGGTTCATCTTTCATTGACATGAGCAAAATGTCACTTATTTTATATTTGAAAAAACAATAATGTCATCAATTTTTTTCTCGAGACAAAGAACCTTTATCCAATTTCATTTTTGTCGATAGGTAACAAGAAAATAATTCACTTATTAGAACAGTGTAGCAGACATTTCAGTCTGATGTAAGGGTATGGATGTGGGAGTACTTCTCATCCTTACGCATACTCACACCCATATCCACACCCTTGAGTTTCAACATTGGTTTCTCTATAAATGAGATCTTTGCTTTTTGACAAATAGAATTTCTTAGACATTATATAATAGTTTCTATTTGCACATACTTTTTCATTTGTTATTTAGTCTGAAAGAAAGCCGACTGCTTCTATTCTATGCTTAAATTGAACTTTATTGTAATGTTAAGTTTTCTACAGCGTCTAATAAAACTAATCTTTTAATTTCAAAGTATTTTACTGATATATGTGCAATGAATAATTCAATTATAGAAAAAAAGAAATGTATGATCAAACGGAACATGCACACAAACAGAAGGGAAACAGATACACATACATATGCATATCGTATCTAACTACTCTCACACTCAGAATTGAATATTTAGGACGATAAAAGAATGAGAGAAAGTCGAACGTAATGAGGGAAAAAGCAAAGTGTGAGAAATGGAGAGAAAAAAAATGTATGAGAATATGATATGTCATTGATGGTGAACATGACTATACCCAACCCGACAAATGTTTTCAAAAACACGTTTAAACGCGCATAAAGTGCAAGAATTATTCACTTTTTATATTTTTTAGACACTTTTTCATACGTTTAAATGCATTTTGTCTGTTTGGGTATCAGAAGTGTTCCATCTACATCATTATATTTATATTAAACTAAAATATTGATAAATTAAGTCTAAATCAATTTATCACTTGTACACTTTCATCCAATCGGAGACTTAACATGTCGATAAGATTCTAATTAAAATCATCAAATAAATATATAAATTCTTTTAATATGTATCAATGTGAATAACCTGCGAGATAAGAATCATTGTTATATACGTAGTTAGGATAAAATTAGAAATAAACATTTCTCTTCTCTAATTCAAACATCGGTAGAAACCATATATTTCCACTTTAAGTTTGTTTTTTTCCTAGATATAGTCAAACAATCAATAGTACTATACGCTATTATCAATAATCACAATAATAACATATAAAACTCCTTAAAATCTAATTGAAATTTCAATATAACTTTATCGTTTTTCTAGATGCATTAGATATTAATATTAATTATACTGTTTTGAGTGTGAGTTTAGATATTAGTAGTAGGTCTGTCATTCACTGATACCCACATCCACAGTTAATATTGACAATTACTAATTATTTAGATATTTATAGTTAATCTAAATTTACAATAAAATAAGTATTTAATATAAAGATGAGTAAAAATAAGTTTATGACTTATTATTCAAATCTGAGCTTTTTTTTTGTATTCCTTTTTCTTCTTTCATCACTTTCTGACGCATATAAATGGTAAATGGATGATGATGCAAGGAAGAAGAAAAGGCGAAAAAATTGAACAAGAACAAGTTTCATTTATTATATTTTCTATATTGAAAAGAAAAAATTTTGTAAAATCTTTTAGAAAAAAGCTGCCACTCGTGAAATAACTGAATATACATTACCAACAGATTCTGGCGGGAAAATAAGTTAATCATTATAAACAAAAAAAAACTTTCAATATCCTAGAAAATCATTTACTATGATTATTCCATCACCAAATGTTACTGGTTATCTTCATTTAGGTCATGCTATTATATGTACAATTGAAGATACAATTGCACGATGGCATCGTATGTGTGGTGATGCTCCTCTTTGGGTTCCTGATTGTAACCATGCTGGTATAGCAACACAAGTTGTTGTTGTTGAAAAAAATTAAGACATAATTTAGGACGAGAAAAATTTTTAGAAGTTTGGACATGGAGAAATGTAAAATGGTTGAGTTTCTTTTTGGTTTATACTATAAAAGACAATGTGTTAAGAGTAAAAGAACATAATGTTAGTAGTACGAATATGTCAACGAAAAAAAAAACTTCGAGATAGGAAACTTTGATAGTTTCGTCAAATCATAATATAAGTTCAAGTAGTTTTATTTGAACTCTTTGTAGTAGCTGTAAGCAAAAGTGAAAGTATAATTTTGAATGAAAATTTCCAAAAGTTTAAAATATACTTGAAACGGAAAGCTTCTCGAATGTATGAATGGTAATAAACCTTTTTTTTTCGGTAAATAAGTGATCATACGTATGCACAAATAAAAACATTAGGTTCATCATGTAATTGGTCACGTAAAGTATTTACTGTGGATAAAAATATGTCGTATGCTGTCGACGAAGCATTTATTCGAATACATGAAAAAAATAATTTATCGTTCAACACGAATAGGGTGTGGGTGTGGATGGATATGCGGATGTGTCTTCTCTTTATTTACACCCACATTCCACATTCCACACTCACACCCACACCCACACTCTCCTAAGGCTCATGCTAATTGAATACAATTTTTTTTTTTGATTGATAGTTTATATGCTGCTGTTCAAAAATATGTATTCAATATTTCTCCATAAGTGAATACGGCAAAAATAGAAAAGAAATAAAAAAGGGCATCGAAACTTATGAAACATCTTTTACTACAAGTAACATATTTTTATTACTACGAAAGCGAAAACATAAATGGAATTCTAACAATAAATGTTCTATATAGTCTTTATTTTTGATTGGCATTCATTGAAACATTAAGGAATAATTCGTATGATTCACATCTTTAACCTGCAAATATGCTGCGAAAAACAAACCTTTTGAAAAAAAAGTTTTCTTTCTGACAGTCTATTGGTATTGATTCATTTCGGCCTTTTATTTGACCATGCATTCACATCATACATTCATATTTTTTTCATTTTTCTTTCACATTTACAAACGTACATACTTTTCTTATCGTTAACATATTAAATACATGGCACACGCATTGACAAATGGTCAAACAACTTGTTGTATATGCGACAAAGAAACAGTCGCGTATAAATGTGAAGGTTGTTCACGAGTTCTTTTTTTACAATCACTTAATTGAACATCGACAAACAATTAGTAAGCAACTCGATAAAATAGAAAATGATCGTGATGAGTTTTATCAAACACTTGTTGAACGAAAAGAAGTTTCAAAAAAATTCCATTGATGCAGCAAGCTTGATAAATGGGAAGAAGATTCAATTCTGAAAATTAAAAAAAACGCAGAAGACTGTAGATACGTATTAATTGGGCATAAAAATAAATATTTTATTAAAATAGAAAAAGAATTATCTTAATTAACTGAACGATTAAAACAAATTCGTCAAGACAATGACCTTAACCCTTTGAGCCCCGGCGACGCATACATGCGTCCGAATGCAGTTATTTGACAAAGATGCTCCTCGTATATCTTTTAATTGTTTGGAACATTTTTTTATCGTTTATTAGGTATAAGTGTGAGTGTGGGTTACTGGACAAAAGAATCACACCCACACCCACACCCGGATGGCATATAAAATAAGTAAAAACAGGTACAGTAGAATAGAACAGCAAGTTACTTGTATTGCGTATTCAATCAATAAAACAACGTAAAACAAAAACAAAATATACTAATAAAGATTTTTATCATGTATTTCAATGAATAAAATATTGTATTCACACATAAGTCCTGCACGTTTTTTTTTTGTTTTTTTAGACAAATACAAAGCTTAATATCTCGTGACTGGAAAGAGATTCTTAAGCTTTACATTTGTATAAAAAACAAAAAGACGTGTAGAACTTATATTCCTATGTAATAGAGCTAGACTATACAAAAAAAATTAATAAAAGCGTTAAAAAGTTTACCTCAATTGAATATCACTAAAATAAGAGAAAAAGTTCCAAAAGAAAAACGCTCAGTTAAAATGAAAAGAGAATATTTGAACTAAAAAACCGCATTTAAATCAAAGAAAGTCACCGTCAAGAAAAACTAAAGGTGAAACAAAAAAAATGGAATATAAAACAATTTTATACATGTCACTCTTGGTTTATTTAGATGAACTAAAAAAGATTAGAAAACATATTCAAGAAGAAACTTCCTTAAATTTTGTAAAATATTGTCTACTGTTTGAAATAATAAATTGAAAGATTTCTTGTAAAAAAATGTTCATTAATATACACCCGAATCGTTAGCAAGAGAAAAACATTTGCAATCGTGTCGGACACCGAAGCATGCTAAGAGGAGTATAATTAAGATTTCATTATACATATTCGTACGATCTGATCAACTCAGCAAACCCGTATCTTACGGTGCTGGTATGGATATTGCTCAAATAGAAAAGCATACAAATTGCCATGTTATCACTAAGCTTCTCTTATGAATATGAACTATGAACATCTCTTTAGCAGTGACAAAAGAAGCAACTTCTCGTTCAAAGTATGATAGTAATATTCAATTTTTTCTGCGACAAAAAAAATTTTTGGGCTAGTCTATAGTATGGTCCACCTGTCGCTCCCATGGCATCAAATGTGTTACGTGTAGCAAAGCTAGGTAACTGAGGGAGTATGCAAGGCTAATCGAGCTGTTGATAAGTTTAGTTGTTCCTAACACTTTCATTCGGAGTTGATTCCAACTGATCTAGTCTATTAGAATGATGTTGATCTCACCACTGAAACATATCGGACCTCAAAGATAGACCTAGGTAAAAAAATAAAACTCGTTAGTTCGAATGCAAAGAAAAGTATGTGGTTTTAGTTAGAATATAATACTGATTCTAATTCGATATAAAATTTTCATGTCTGTTTTTGGGCCAGGAATATCGTTTACGATCTCTGATTTTTTTGAAAAAAACAGTGCTGAGAAGTATTGATCTTCATGATTTCAGGATTCTACAGAATATTAGAGATATAGCAATTTTTTCTTCGATTGGATCGATTAGTGGAAGAGACGAACAAATTGGAATTCCGAGCAGAATGTTGTTGTGTTGAACTATAAGTCCTGCTAATCATCTTGTAGCCTGTCAAAAATAATCATCAATACAAGTAAATGGTTTTTCTCGGCAAATTAGCCGCAATAGCTTCGTAAATATGCTCTTGAATCATGCGTCAGTTTTCATCAAGTGTAAAGAGTAAGATGAGTATTTTACTCCTATTGATAAAATATTCTCAAGATCATGAGACTTAATAATAGAGAAAGTTTCAAATAAAAAACTCTTATGTTAAGTTTTTCTATCAACAATGCATTCTCTGGTAAGCATTCACACAGTCGTAGATTTGCCGAGAAGGCCAATAGAATAAAATCTTTTCAGTATTAATTTGGTCTCAAAGTCTTCTCTTTATGTCTAAAATACGAGCTGAAAAATAATAAATTACTTCAAACAGTTTCCAAATAAGATCTGCGGACATTGTTCACATAATCTATAGAGTAACTTTTCGCTTTCTTATTGCTCTTCAGTTCTATGTAATTTTTTATTCATCGAAAATAATACAAGAGAAGAAAGAAAAAAAAAACAAACAAACAGAAAACATGGGCAATGTAGCAGAAATTCGATCACTGCTCATAATCAAATATTATTTGTCGAATGTATATGTATATAAATGTGGGTGTCTTCTTTTTTCTTCCGTTTTTAAACGTACAACAACCAACAACAAAAAAAAAAGGATGACAAAACAACAGGAAATAGTTATGATAATAGTAAATGAACGAACAAATGTCTTGAATAAAAAAAAAAAAAAAAGAAAGAAGAAAACAAATAAACACATATGTTGTTTGCCGATGGGTACAAAGAAGAATACCAAAAAGAAATAGGATAAGTGTCAAGATGATGGTGTTTTTTTTTTTTTATTTTCTATTCGAATCCAAAAATGCAAGAGAAAGAGACAAATATATATATATGTGTGTGTAAGAAAAACAAAAATAACAGCTATTGCGTCAATGCAGTAATCGTGCTATTTGTTGATGGAATATCGCCAGATGAAGAATTTGATGGTGTTGGTTCATCATCATCATTTTCATCTTTTTCATCATCATGATCATTATTTGTTAACGTCTATAAATAAGAAAAGCGCATAGAAATCAATATTAAGCATAAAGAAATAAGACAGAATATTTTCAATGCAAATAGTGCTATTAAAAAACAAATTAATTGCACAAAAAGAATTGTCTTAACAAAGAATGATTTGATCGAATGTTAAGATATGTATGTGTTAGATTTATCATATTTTTTAAGGGTTTTCTTAATATAGACAGCATTCTATAGTTCAGAAGTAAGTGCGTAAATGAACTTTTTTTTTTTTTTACACAGGAAATTTCATACATATGAATATTTATTTGAAAGCAATTTAAATATTTATTTAAGTTATTTTTTTTTGTAGAATAAAATTTCTTAAAGCTCTTAGTTATCATCATATTTTGTTAATTCCTTTTGATAGCATTAAGTCAAAGAGTTGAAAGCAACCCACGAAAGAAATATTCTCATAGGTTTTTGAACAAAAATTATAATTTTGTTAGATTTTCATATTTATATGAAAAATAATTGTTTTATGTCAGTAAGGTATTCATGAAGAAAAAGAAAGTATAGTGAGAAACAAAAATAGAATTAGTGATATTGGTGAACATATTGGCAAAAAAAAAAAACAAAAGAAAAGAACAAAAAAACGTAAGAAACAGAATGATTGTTGTGTAAAGGGAATAATAATATGTGATTTTTGATGCATACAGAGCAATAGCCAATAGATGGAATATATTAAATAACTATGAGAAGAAAGTGGAATAAAAATACCGCGTTGATGTTGTTGTATTTCGCTGAAAGATATATATGTTTTGTTTAATTTTTACAATTATTTTATTTTGTTTTTATTTTTTTTTGTAATTGTATTATTAAATAGAAGAAATAATAT